CCCCCCCCCCCCCTCCGGTAAGTAAGCATTGTATGACTTTCTCGCGGTTTTTTTGCGACATGGAAAAGGGGGTGAGATCGGGGCGAGAACCACCTGAAGAAAGCAATAATACCGCATCCCGTGACAGCTGTGCTACGAAACAGAACTTCCCTACGAAACATCTGAACATAACAGTTTTTAAAACAGTACCGCAATCATCTCCGCGATAAAACTTGATCCTGAGGCGATAAGTTCAGCGATTCCCATATAGTTGGCAGTGTTTAGCACCATGAAGAGCACATCTTTCTGAAGGTTATGGAAAAACGTACGCTCCCAGTTTGACAACTCGACATCCTAAAAGGGAAAAGTAATTGAGCCTAATTTATGCTTGAGTGTAATAGCAGTATATAGCAACCTTTCCATCATAATCGCTTCTTTTGTTGCCATGCGTACATAAGGCCGATGCGCCAGCGAACTGCGAAGAAACCTGCTTTTTTCGTCGCATCCATTCCACTCAAAAGAACACAATTTACTCTATTCGATCTTGTGTTTCTTTGTTCCACGTTCATTGTCGGCCGCGGTTTTACAACGGGGTATCCTATCAACAACAAAATCAAGAGGAGGCCGTAACCCGATTTCACAGCCCATTACCACCGTAGCTTGTAAGCGTAAAGCAGAGAATGTGCTCCCTTCAATAGTTACGTTTATTTTTCGTACCCAGAAGTTCATCGGAACTCTAAAAAAAACAATTTGATTGTAACGTACCTACAGGTTTAAGGGCCATGTCAGGAACTTTGGGCAACGGAATCGTTGCGCTACCATCCTCTGGACAGTGCGTAATCACATTTTGAACGAGTGATGATAGGGTAGCGACGTCACTTGTAAGACTGTGTACAACACCATCAGAAGACTCCAATTTCACCAATGACATCAGCTGAATTGGAATTGTCACAACATGAAAGGACAAGCGGCCTGTGACAAGAATAGAAAAATCGTTTGGCTGCCATCGGCTGAGGTAGCGCTGCGGGAGTCCGGAATGCAATCAAATGTGAGAGCTTCATAGCCGGTATCATTTAGCTTTTCCAGATTGAACATTTCCAAATGGATATTCCATAGGTACCTTGAGGGCTGTGCGTAGAAATTCTTGCTGAAGGTTGAGCGCTTTTGCATGAGATGGGAATGCACCCAGTTAACGCCAACACCAATGTTAAGGTTCATTTGGAAAGTACCGTACCCTTTCCTAAGACAATTCTTGGTATACTACGTCGAGCTCGGTGACTAGCGGCTTACAGACTTTAACA